GGGGGGCGGGGGCGGCCGGCGAGCGCGTGCGTTCCCCCCCGGGAGAAAAACACTAAGACTGAGCGGCGCCCGCCGAATGCAAAAGTTTCGATGTTCGAGCCGCCGTCGCTAACGTGAGTTCCGTGCCTGAAATCGCAGGCCGCTGCTCCCATATTGCTCGTTCCTGTGATGCGCGTTCTCATGGGCCGCCGCTTGCCTGCTGGGGCTCGCGCGTTGCCGTGTCATCGTCGCGCGCGCGCGTTTATCGACGGGCGCCGGACAGTCGAGGCTGCGCCTTCGTCAATTCGCGCCCGGGCAAAGGTGCGCGCTCAACTCGCCGGTCGAGTTTCTCTTGGCCCGTCGCATGGGGGGCCGTCTCGTCTTCGAGGCCCCCAACTTTCGCGGCGGAATCTGAAATTGAAGACGTGGCTGGCCGAAATGGCCCGAGTTTCTTTGTCGTGCGCTTGTGGCCTTCCCGCTGGTGAAATAAGCGGCGAGGTGCTAGCTGAGTGGGGAATGGCATGCAGCATGGCGTTGCGGCGGTGGAGGCGCCGCATGTAGCCCGATCTCGCTTCATTCATTGGTCTGCGCGCCACCTGCCTGATTTCTCCTTCCCGGCGTTTCAAACGTTGCCATCGTCGAAGACGGGGTCGCAACCAACGTGGGCCCCAAGCGATAATTGCGCGTGGGATTCAAATAGCGTTGGCCCGAAACGGCGACGAAGAGTGGGCCCGAAGTGGATTCCAACAAGTAATGTTGAACGATATGTTGCCTGGGGTGGAGTCTGATTCCTCCGGCCTGCTTCGCTCTGTCAAAATCAGTTCGTGGGCCCCGCGCAGCGCGGACCTCAAACAATGGTTATGGGTGGGCTCCGCGCAGCGTGGGCCCCAGCCAGTGATGATGCGTGGAGGCATTCATTCTCCAACTGTCCCATTGCCTATCAACTGACTTGCTTGCTGTTTATCTCACTGGGCAGTTGAAAACTTGACCGTGTTCATGGTTTACATGTGTGCCAATCATGGTCCCGAGCCAGAGCTTGCCTCTGTATGGGGTATAACGGATTCATACGGCGAATGGAGGTTTGGCGCCCATTTCGGCGGCGCGCCCAGGTGCCCAGGTGCCCGGGTGCCCGGTGGCCCTGTACCTCTATAGCTCTATAGCCATAATAGCCCTCGTAGCACGATCGTCCTAGTGCTCTATAGCCCCAGACCCGTATAGCCCCAGCCTGGTAGCCGAATAGCCCCGTTGCCTTATAGCCCCAAAAAGACTAGGATTGGGTTGTTCTCCGGTATCATTGTATATTTGCAAGTCGGATAACCTCAGAATCTGGAAAATTCACATTCTCACAATATCAAATCTCATTTTTGCGGTTTGACGCTGAAGCCTCGAACATATGTCAGATTCCCAAATCTCTGGTTGATTTTCTGCACTTCTTCCAAACTCCCGTTGAAATTCAAGTCTTCCCCAATCGGAGCTTGCCTCTGTAGGGGTCCTAGCGGATTCATTTGGTTATGTGGAGTCTGGCGCAAGTTTCGGCGGCGCGCCCCGGTGCCCGGGTGCGTGCGGGTGCCTGGGTGCCCGCGTGCCTAATAGCCCTATAGCCATTTAGCCCTGTAGTCTTCTAGCCCAATAGCCCTATACCTATAGCCTTACAGCATTGCAGCCTTAAAGCCCTATAGCTCTATAGCACAATAGCCCTAAAGCTTTTTATGCTTATAGGCCTGTGTTCCTATAGCTTTGTATACCTATAGTCCTATGGCCCTATAGCCTTATTGCCCCATAGCTCCATAGCCCTATAGCCGTATACCCCGATAGACCTGTAGCCCTATAGTCCCATAGCCCTGAGAAGATTTTGATTTGGGTTTTTCTCCGGTACCATAGAAATCGATGGAGCAGATCGATTTTCTGTACTGTGATATTCGGATGCTTTGGGTAGGAGCTCCTCCGAACGCCCCAGTGGCGGTGTTCGCATGCGAGACCCCCACCTAATGCAGCATTTCGTGGCCCCATATGGAGCTCCACCGAAGGCCCCAGTGGCGGTATCCGCATGCGCTTCCCCCACCCAGTACAGCGTTCCGAAGGCCCCACGGGCGGTGTTCGCATGCGTTTCGTCCACCCAGTACAGCGTTCCGCTGCCCCGTGGCGGTGTTCGCATGTGTTTCCCCCGCCCAATACAGCGTTTCGTGGTCCCGTCAGGAGCTCCACCGGAGGCCCCGGTGGCGGCGTTTTGCATGCGTTTCCCCTAAACAGTGCAGCGTTTCGTGGTCCCACAGGAAGCTCCACCGAAGGGCCCTGTGGCGGTGTTCGCATGCGCTCCCTTCACCCAATGCAACACTTCGTAACCCCATGGGAGGCAGGCAACTCCGCCGAAGGCCCTAGTGGCGGTGTCCGCATGCGTTTCCCACCCAGTACAACGTTTCGTGGGCCTATGGGGAGCTCCATCGAAGGCCCCAATGGCGGCCTCGCCCCATTGCGGCGCACCCCTGTTCCTTAGTGGATTCCACCTAGAACCCCACTAGCAGCGCCCACGTGGCGGCCCCGCCCAATATTGGCACACCCTTCGCATGCTTCATGGCCCCATGAAGAGATCCCCCGGTGGCGATACCTGCAACGAGGGTACTAGCAACTGCAAATGGTCGGGTCCTTCGCGCACGATTGCTTTCTGCTCCTGGACGCCGTTTTAATGTTGAAGTCTCGCTTGTGTTTTTTTGTGTGTGGTTTCTCGATCCCGTTTCTTTTGCTAAGTTGTTAGTTCTGAACACACGACCTCTGTTGTTTCCCACCTCGCTGGCTGGTAGACGCTTGCGATACTCCTGAGGTGAAAAGATGGCCGTGATACAGTGCGGGTGCGGCTGCAAGAAACCATCGCAAGAAACCCAAACCCGACAACCCGCGCGCGAGGTGCACCCCAGGGAAAACACGGAACGCCCCGAACGCGGCAGCCTTTCTGACGGCCGCGGGAAGTCAACGCGCAGCGCGCGGAGATAAGAAACCCATGGTACCCTGAGGAGGAGGAGGCGGAGGAGGAGGAGGAGGAGGCGGAGGAGGAGGAGGAGGAGGAGGAGGCGATGACGACGACGACGACGACGAGTAGATGGTTTCTTGATGCGCGCCCCCACTGTAGACGCCAGAGGGGTCGGGGGAATGCCCGTGGGCGGGCACGCCGACCCTGGGCCCGGGCCTGGCCGGGACCGGTGTGCAGCTGGCGTCCTCTGCGCCCTCCTCCTCCGTGTCTGGGGCCCTCTCCTCCCCATCCTCCTCCCCGCCCTCCTCCCTGTCCTCTCCTCGCCCCCCCTTCCCCTCCTCGCCCCCCTCCTCCTCCTCCCTGTCCTCCTCCCTGTCCTCCTCCCCGCCCTCTCCTCGCCCCCCCTTCCCCTCCTCGCCTCCTCCTCCTCCCCTCCTCCTCCCCCCCACCCTCCCCTCCTCCCCATCCTCCTCCCCGCCCTCCTCCCTGTCCTCTCCTCGCCCCCCCTTCCCCTCCTCGCCCCCCTCCTCCTCCTCCCTGTCCTCCTCCCTGTCCTCCTCCCCTCGCCCCCCTTCCCCTCGTCCCCCTCCGGATCGAATCCATGAGGCGGACCAGCCGGCGCTCGCCCGGAGGCCCCGGCGAGCCGCGGCCTGGCAGGGATCACCCCACGCCCCGTGCCTGTGGCTGGACGTGGCACGGCCCGCAGGACCCCCTCGCGCCCACGAGGCGACAGGCTCTCAGACACCCCGCGCCGCTGTGATGATGATGATGATGATGATGATGATGATGATGATGATGATGATGATGATGATGATGATGATGATGATGATGATGATGATGATGATAAGGAGGAGGAGGAGGAGGAGGTGGAGGAGGAGGACGAGGGGAGGAGGAGGAGGAGGACCCCCGCGCCCACGAGGCGACAGGCTCTCAGACACCCCGCGCCTCTGTGAGGGGCAACGTTAGGGGGGGGCACAGCGGAGGGGGGGGGGAGCATCGACTTGAAAATCGGCGATGCCCCGCCGACGTCGCCGACAGATCGGCGATGTGCCCCCACCAGCGAAGCCGCACGCTTCTTGGCGGGGTGGGGCTTTCGGGCCCCCATCGGCGACGACCGGGCGACCTGGGGGTCGATGCACTCCCCCAGAGCGTACAGTCGGGGCGTTGATCTAAGGAACCCTAAATAAGGAACGGGGCCCCTTTCTCCATAAGTTGAACTTCGATTTCCCATGGAAAACCTCAGGAAAACAGAAGGCAAACTGTAGAACAATCAAGGAACACCGAGCCCCTCCCCAACGAAAAGCGTTCCTTCTGCAGGGCCCCGACTGTACCCCTCCTACGTTGCCCCCTGGCTTTCGGGTCACGACTCTCCTACCTCCGGCGGCCGCTCGGGACGACCTGGGCACCCCTGGAACGCTCTCGGCGAGGCGCAGCTGCTGGAGAGCGCCCCGAGGCCTGAAAACCGCCGATCGCCGACGACGGTGCGCGAACAAAGCTTGACTCTCGAGCCCGACTCTCCCAGGACGCCAGACCGCCCCGCGCGCCTCCGAGGTACCTCGCGACCCTGGGACGCCCTCCAAGAAGGCCCCCCTCCCCGAGAGAGCCCAGAATCGAATCGATGAGTCGGATCGGCGATCGAAGCGCATCGGATCGGCCAAGGTCGGCAGCCGAGCCGGGAAGAGCCGACTCGGCGGCAGCCGGCAGGCGTGCAGGCCAGCGCGGCCTCCACGGAGAGATCGACGCCCCGAGCCGAGCCCGCGGCCGACTCGCCTCGAGAGCGGAGCCGGTCGCAGCCGGCTCGAGCCGAAGCGGAGGAGCCGAGACGAGCCCTCCTCCTCCCTTCTATGGGGGGAGGAGGAGGAGGAGGAGGAGGAGGAGGAGGAGGAGGAGGAGGAGGAGGAGGAGGAGGAGGAGGAGGAGGAGGAGGAGGAGGAGGAGGAGGAGGAGGAGGAGGAGGAGAGGAGCCGCCCCCCCCCTCCCCGCTGCTCCTCCCAGGGGCCCCGAGCGGAGGGCAGCAAGGGCACCGGGCGCGCCGCGCACGGCCCGAGGCGCGGGCCCCCTCGGACGCGCTGGCCATGAACGCAGACTTGTCGAGCGCCAGCTCGTCGAATACCTTCCACGGCTTCGTCGTCGTCGCCGTCTGCCTTGCCGCCCCTCCGCCGCGTGCTCCTCGCCGTCCGCAGTGCCCTCGACCCTTCCCCGTGCAAAGGTCTCTCACCCCAGGCCGTTTGCTGACAGTCCCGAGGCCCGAGACGGGCATCCGAGCGTCGAGAGCTGTTGCAAGTCGGCGTCGCGGTCGCTGGTGACGAAGGACGTCTGGGTCATCCCTCCTCCGTATCGGGGGCTGACAGAATTTATCCCGGTCCAAGGTGCACCCGTGCCTCTCGACTCGTTTGGGAAGCACTGGGGCCCTCTGGTCTTCGTGAGTGGTGACTCGGATGCCACGTGGGCCTCCCCGAGCTGAGGAGGCCACCTTGGGCAAAGGTCACCTCCGTATGCCGACGAGATCTAGACATATCTGCCGCCGCTGGCCAAGTCATTCCTGGGTCCAAGACCTGTATATGAGCCTCCCTGGTCAATCTTCGCTCGGGCCGCACTGGCAAGAGCCCCGCTCCTGACCGCTCGCGAGTGGGTCATCCGATGCTGGAATCTCCTCATCCTGTTCTGGGCGTTCTCGGCCCCATCTTGGCCTCCAGGGGTCTCCAAGAACACTTCTGGACCTACTATGGCAAGTTCGTGTCGTGATTGCTTCTGCGCTGGTTTCTGGCACGGTGTGGACTGCTTGGCCTTGAGTGATCACGACCTTCCGATAGCGCCGATCGTTCGACACTGGATGACTCCAGGCCGCTGGCGGCGCTCAACCTTGAACGCCCGCGCTGGGGCTTCCGCCGCGTCGAGACGGCAAGAAGCTACCGCAGGTCCCTGTCGACAAGTGGCGCGTTCTTGCCGCGACCTCACGATCCCCGCTCGCCTCCATGTGGGGCTCTGCGGGCCCCGCCTTGACGCGACATTCTCGGCCCTGTGATGCAAGGCAGCGCTGACGTTGAATCTCACAGAGGACCTCTCGGGCCCTTCGTGCAGGGCACTACCTGCTCTGTGGTGCTGTCCGACAGCATAGGTTCTGGTCTGAGATGCTGCCAGTAGCCAATATCCACTCGCCTCCCTCCGCCTCTGTTCGCCTCCTGCCTGCCTCCTCCATCCTTCTTCCTTGCCACTCGTTTTACCTCGTCGCACCGTCACGTGCCATCAGTCGTAGTCGTGTCTGTGGGGCGGGCTGGGCATTTCGCCTGAGACGTGTTGACCTTTTCTGGCCCCGAAGCTCGAATCTCGCCTCTGGACGGTGGTGGTCTAGAGAGTTTCACCTTCCAACCCTCTTCGTCCCTTCGGGGAGGTGTTTACCCTTCACTCGGGCGTGTCCCTCTACAGGAGGAATATGCAGAAATAGTTAAATCATGGGGACGATTTTTTTGATTAATTTTGAATATTTCTTGACTACTGCTAATTCTTCGTCCGCAATCTGCCTGCAGGATTAAGCCGGGCCTGTCCCCCTACAGGCGGATTTTGAACGAAAAAACATGGTCAAACAATACCCCCAATGGTCAAACATCCACAACAAATCGTCCCCAGACTTTTTTTGTACTATTCTTGAATATTCCCCCTGGCGAAGGACAGGCCCGACTTAAACTGTAGGAGGACATGCCCGACCTAAGTTTATCCCTTCCCCTCCCCGCCCCTAGACCTGGACGGGGGGAGGGGGTCGCGAGCGACGGGAGCGTCGAAGATGGCCAGATATGGCTCCAAGATCGACCAAGATTCTTAGGTCGGGCCCGTCCCTCTACAGGGGGATGTTGGGCGGAAAAACGGGGGATGTTGGGCGGAAAAACAAACATACCCAAAAATACTACCCACACGCTTGGACAAAAACTAAAATAAGTAGTCCCCAGACTATTTTTTGCCTATTCTTGAATATTTCCCCTGTAGAGGGACAGGCCCGACTTAACAATATTCCTCAATGTTGCCTCCAAGATGGAACAAACCCGTGGGGGCGCGGACGTCCATCGATTTTTGGTGTTGGAACGTCGCGCTTTCTGTCGCAGAACCATCGAAACCCCCAAAACCCAGGGCACCCTGGAGGCAAGCAGGTTGTTTCTTGGCAGGGGTCTTCACTGTATGGTGCAAGATCGCAGAAAATGGCTTCCATCAAGCTCCAATGCGCCCCAATATCGCCCCAAGAAGAGAAGACGAGGTGCATGTCAGAGGTGCATGGGCAGGAAAAGTACGCGCCGACGCTACCGCAGACAAGCGCTGTGAAACTATGAAGCCACCCGGCGTCGCCAGTTCCACGGGCAGGCGGTCTCTAAAAGTCTGTTCGTGCAAGTTAAGTTGCCAGGCGGCGCCCCAAGGCGGGATTTAAGTTGCCAGGAGGCCCACATCCTTCCAGCATCTAGCAAGCAAGTCAGGGTTCTCCGCGTTGTCGTTGCTTCGCTGTCGACGGGCTTTGGTGTCCTCAGGATTGCTCAAGAGGGCTCCAAGATGGGCCCAAGAGGGTCACCAGTCGGCTCCAAGAACGCCCAATACCGCTCCAAGAGCGCCCCAAGAGGGCAATACGCAACCTTTCGGGCTCCAGGGGGCGGGGGGGGGGGGCAACGCTAATTGAGAGCACTTTTTTTTTTTTTTTTTTTTTTTTTTTTTTTTTTTTTTTTTTTTCTCAAATCAGTGTCCCCCAAAATGGCCCCTAGAAAGCCCCGATGACGGCCCCAGAGGTCCCCCGGACGGCGCCGAAAGGGGGCCCACTTATAGAGGGGTCGGCGGATGTGGCGTAAGCCTATAGAATCCACGTCCGGAGGTGACGTGCTGAGCGGCAGCGTTTTTTTGCGGAGGCGATAATGCAACGTATCCAATGTGTCCAATGATTGCATAATTGCAACGTATTGTATTGTGTTACATTATTACGTCTCCCCCCCCTAACCCCCCCCAGGGGCCACGCCACTTCCGTCTGACCCAAAGGTGGCGGACCCCTTCTGGGCTTCAAAAACATCAAAAACCTATGATAAATCAACAAATTCGGCCTCTTGGGCCTCTTGGGGCCCCAAGAAAGTTTCAAGACGGCCCAAAATGGCCCCAAGACAGCCCAAGGCGGCCTCAAAACGGCACAAGATGGCCCCAAGAGGGCCCATGAGGCCCCCAAGAAAGTCCAAGAGGCCCCCAAAAAGACTCCCGAGAGCGCCTCCGGAGGCCAAAATCTTTGATTCGCCTTTAGTTTTGGGACAATTTCGACGTTTTCGCCTTTTTCGGCTCTCAGAAGGCCGTGACGGCCCAAGGAGCCCCCAAAAAGGCCCCCAAACGGCCCAAGAGGCCTCCAAGGGGGCCCCAACACCGCCCAAGAGGGCCCCGAGACGGCCCAAAAAACCCTCAAGACGGCCCAAAAAGACCCAATACGGCCCCAGAGGACCCCAAGAGAGCCCCAAGGCGGCCGCGAGAGGCTTCCAAAGTGACCTCCGAAGTGGCCAGACGGCGTAAGAGCGCTCAAAGACGGCCCAAGACGTCCCCAAAAAGCCCCAAGAGGCTCCAAAGAGGCCCCCCAGAGGCTCAAAAAAACTCGTAAGAAGCTTCCAAAAAACTCCTAAGAGACCCCCAGGAGGCCCCACAACGACTGGACTGAACGTGCTCTGAAAAACCCTGCAGAGTTTTCTGCGGAGGCGATAATGCAACGTACCCAATGTATCACATGACTGCATAATTGCCACACATTACATTGTGTTACATTATTAATTATGTCTCCCCCCTAACCCCCCCTTCTGGGAGCTGCGCCACAGGAGCGGACCGAAGTGCCCCCCCCCCTCCCGGTGCCCCCCCCCCTCCCGGGTCTCAAAAACCTACCAAAACCTATAGAAAATCCATGATTTCGACTTCTTGGGCTTCTTGAAGGGCCAAGAGGGTGCCAAAACGGCTCCAAATGGGCTTTGCGCGGACCAAGACAGCCCCGAGACGGTCCAAGACGGCCCCAAGAGGGCCCAAAAAACCCCACTGACGGCCCAAGAGGGCCCCCAAAGCGCCCACAACTGCGCCTCCAGAAGCCAAAATCATTGATTTCTTTTTGGCTTGGTAAGATTTTAGCGTTCTCGCCTTTGCGGCCCAGGCAGCTTCCCAACTCGCTCCTGAACAACCCAAGAAGCCCCCAAGAGGGCCCCAATACTGCCCAACAGAATCCAAAAACTGCCCAAAGAGGCCCCCAAGACGGTCCAAGAGGCCCCTATGACGGCCCAAGAAGACCCCAAAACGGCCCCAAGGCGGCCGCGAGAGGCCCCAAGACGGCCTCCGAAGGGTCGAAACGGCGCAAAAGCGCCCCAATACGGCCAAAGGCGCCCCCAAGAGGCCCCAAGAGGCACCCAAGAGGCCCCCAAGGGGCCCCAACAAAAACCCGAAGAGGCCTCCAAGATGTCCTCAAGAAGCCCCCCAAAGGCTCCAAAAAAAAACCCCAAAGGCCACACAGCGACTGGAGTGTAATGCCATTTTTCCACCCTGGGCGAACTGCGGCGCAGCGCCAGCCAGGTGGAAGTTGGTCACAGCGGCGCCCATGATTAGAGCCGGCGCTGTAAAGAAATATGGGGAGGGAGTATGAAAAGGAGTGAGGGGGGAGAGGCCCCCAAAAAGTTCCCAAGAGGCCCAAGGAAGCCCCCAGGAGGCCCCCAGGAGGCCTCCAGGAGGCTCCCAAGAGCTCCGCGACGACGTGACTGTACGTGCTCCGGACGCGCACCCCGCGAAGCGAAAGGAATCCACGTCCGGAAATGACGTGCTGAACAGCAGCGTTTTCCGCGGATGCTGTAATGCAGTTGATCCAATGTGTCCAATGTTTGCATAATTCCCACAAGCTGTATTGTGTTACATTATAATGTCTCCCCCCTAACCCCCCCAGGGGCTACGCCGCATCCGTGGACACAAGGTGGCGACCCCCATTTGGGGCTCAAAGGCGTACCAAAACCCATGTAAAATCGATGATTCGGGCCTTTGGGCCCTCTGGGAGGCCCAATAGGGTCTCAAGACGGCTCCATATGGCTTCAAGACGGGCGAAGACGGCTCCAAGACGGTCCATGATGGCCCCAAAAGGGCCCA